TGATCCAAACAAATGACCTGAATTTAATCCCAAACTCACCCTTGTCAGCTGAACCTCAGTTGACCTGCAGACATGTGGTCAAGAAATAAATGTTTTTGCTACAAGCCACTGAGCTACATAGCACGGTTGTGGAAATAGCTGACTGATATTGCTACATTGACCATTGGTGACCTTATTGGCAGTTGTTTGGAACACTAATAGAGGTAGAATCTTTATTAATTTGGAGGGTGCTACACAGTAAGAGAGCCCTGGGGAAATAACATTAAGTACAGACAACTCAAGAGGTTTGGCTGTGATGGAGAGGAAGAAAGGGGAGACAATAGCCAGAAGCGGACCAGGAAAAGGCTGTTTGGCATTGTTTGTTTGTTTGTTTGTTTGTTTGTGATGGGAGAGAGTAGAATATCTTTAAATGGTAGGAAGTTAAAACTAATTGGGAGGAAGTGGTTGATTATAGAAAACAAAAGGAGAGTTGATAGTGTGTCTCCTGAGATATTAAGAGGGGATGATATTTAAATACAGGTAGAGGGATTGGCCTTGGAAGAATGAGGAGAAAGGGTGCCAAGTTTAATATAGTCAAAAAGAATTGATAAGAATGGGAGGAGTTTGGGGTAGACTTGCAAATCCGGTGGGGAGAATTTGAGGATATCCCATCTAATTGCTTTAAGTGATTCACTACTTTTCTTTGAAGGAGGAAGCGATAATGTCCAGTTAACGTTAGGCTACAAACCACATCTGACCACTTCCCAAATAATATGAATGATAAATAAGAATACATTGCTTGTATTGCTCCTACAGATGAATGCTTTTCAAAGGCTATAGCTCATGGTTTGGTTTTGGGGAACTGCAAGATCTGAATGTGGACAACTATAGAACATTGCTGAGAGAAATTAGAGAAGTCTTACATAAATGGAGAGATATATTGTATTCATGACTGGAAGACTCAGTATTATTAAGATGCCAGTTCTTCCCAAACGGACCTATGGAGTCAACACAACCCCAATCAAAATCATTTTTGAGAGTAGAAATTGATACAGTGATTCAAAAATTCATATGGAAAAGCAAAGAATGTAGGTACAAAACAATTTTGAAAAAGAACAAAGTTAGAAGACTCCTGCTGTAAGAGATGGAATGGAGAGATATATTATATTCATAACTGCAAGACTCAGTATTATTAAGATGCCAATTCTTCCAAAATTGACCTATAGAGTCAACACAACCCCAATAAAAATCATTTTTGAGAGTAGAAATTGATACAATGATTCAAAAATTCATATGGAAAAGCAAAGAACGTAGGTACAAAACAATTTTGAAAAAGAACAAAGTTAGAAGACTCCTGCTGTAAGAGATGTATAAGGCAAGGTATGGGGGAGGAGAGTACATTGCTCCCATGCCTGCTCCAGATGTACCCTCCCAGCACCTCAATTTGTCCACCAGCCCAGAAGTTCTCCAAACCCAATTGTTTAGGAATTTTTAAAAGAGGTTCCATTATGTAGGAATGGTTATTAAATCATTGGTGATTGAACTGCAGCCTCTCTGCCCTTCGTGGAGGTTCAGGGGTGGGGCTGAATATGGTTGGTTCGTCTGGAAACCAGACCCCATCCTGAAGCTGTCTAGGGGTATGCCAATAGGCACCTCACTAGCATAAACTCAGGCAAGGTTGAAAGGGCCTCACTGTGAATAACAAAAAACACCCCTATGAGCCAGGAAATTCCGAAGGTTTTTTGGATCTCTATGCCTGGAACCAGGGACAAAGACCAAATATATATATTTTTAGTATACCACAGTTTATTAAACACAGATTGCTGAGCCCAAGCCCTGAGTTTCTGACTTAGTAGGTCTGGGGAGGGGTGGAGAATGTGTGTTTTAACAAGTTCCCAGATGCTGCTGATGGTGCTCCTGGAGAATGTCCTTCTGTCCTTGAGGGTCACAATAGTATAATTTGTCTTTCAGTTGTTACCCTTTGGACTTAAGAACTTCCTTTCTTTCTGTTGACTAGCACATTCATTCTGTTCAAAAGTACCACCAAACTTTACTTCAGAGCAAGAAAGCCCAGGATCTAGACCAATCCTCACATGGCACATCTCAGCGAAGGGAAGAATTGTAAAAATGAAGGTGATGGAAAAGCAAACCACACCCTGTTTTGCTTTTCCCCTTCAATTCTATTTCACTTTGGTTTTGATTCATGTGTATATATCTGTATGTATGAGCCATAAATTTCCTAAAATCTGCCTTCCTGTTTCACCATTCTCCCTATCTAGATCCAACCCACTCAGATCACCTACAATCACTTTTCTTCAGACACTCCATTAACTGCTCAGTAAGTCACCCTGCATCTAACTATGGGTTAAGATTCCTGTTCTAAATCAGGCTGAATACCCCCAAATCTACTGTGGCTTTTGAGGAATGGGTGCATGTGTGGTAAGAAAAGCAAGTTTAGAAGTCCTCACTAGCCTTGCTGTTTGTTTCTCACTCCACGTTTGCCCAGTGCCTCCATGCTACCCTGACAGTTGTCCATTCCCCTGGGCATTGGACTACACTCAATGGATGTCTCTACCCAGGGAAGCCTGAGTGTTTTCCAGCTCCCACCCCTCCCCTGGCTTTGAGTGGCCTGAAAAGGAAGATGGGCCAAGGGGCTGAGGTAGAAAATACTTTTAGGGATAAGAAAAATGTAGGCAGTATAGTGTTATGATTAAAAGTATTCACTTAGGAATCAGGTGGCCCTGGGGTTGGAGTTTGTTTTTGCCTCTTATTAGTTATGTGATTTGGAGCAAGTAAATGTCTATTTGCCTCTATTTCTGTTTCTGTGCAATGGAGCTGATGATAGCTATCTCATACAGAGTTAGTATAATGTAGTAATTTGAAACATAGATTCTGGTGCCAGACTGCCTGGGTTCAAGTTTTGGCTTGCTGTTGAGTAGCCATAAGGCCTATGAGTAAGTTATTTAACCTCTTTGTGTCTCAGCTTCTACATCTGTAAAATCACAGTGATAACAGTACCACATACAAAATGATAGCATTTCTTATTTGAGGCTCTTGGGATTTGTCTAGCTACTTTTCTCCAAGAAGACCAGAATCAAACTAAAGAATGGAATGATTCCTAATCCCTAAATATTGAAGTCTGAAAAATGCTAGAATGCAGGATTTTGTTGACATTTTACAATCCCTTTATGAGTGTGTGTTTGTGATAAAGAAACGTTGAATTGTAGACAACAGAAAATCTAGTAGAGAGTGGGACAAAAGTAGGTTTACAGTTGTGAGTATGCAAAACACAGTTATGCTTGTATTATTTATTAACTAGAGGCTCAGTGCATGAAATTCGTGCATGGGAAAGGTCCCTAGGCCTGGCTGGCGATCAGAGCCTATCTGTGGGGCTACCGGTGGGACGATTGGGGGCCCCTGCTGGCACCTGCCTTGGCTGGCCTGGGGCCTGTGGGCTGGGGGCAGCTCCTGAGTTGAGTGTCTGCCCCCTGGTGATCACTGCGCGTCATAGTAACTGGTCATTCAATTTGCATATTAGGCTTTTATTATATAGGATTATTATAACACTAGAGGCCCAGCACTCGAAATCACGCGAGACCCAGACCTGCCACCTTGGCAGGACCCCAGACCCGCTGTGCATGAGTAGCTTGCTGCCTGGAGCCACCATGACGCGTGAGCCCCGCCTCGCCCCATGAGCTGTGAGCTCCTCCATGCCATGCAAGCCACAAGCCCTGCTGTGCTGCGCAAGCCACGAGCCCCACACGAGCCCCTCCTCACCGTGTGAGCCCTGCCTCGCCGCTGCGAGTGGCTCGCTGGTTGCGGGGAGGGACTGAGAGGTGCTCCATGCACCTCCTAGTGACCGGTCATTTGGTCGTTCCAGCGTTCCGGCCACTGGCCTTTTATAATATAGATTTTCTATATGAACAACTATAAATCTACTTTTGCCCCACCCTGTACTTATAGGTGCTTTTTACTTCCCCTACCCCAGAAATTTATTTAAATAAAAAGAGAAAAATGAAAGCGGGAGCCAGATATAACTTGAAACCTGGTTGTGCTGTGAGAAACCCCTCACCCCAAAAGAAGCGGGGAGGAAGAGGGGCACAAACCCAGTAGAACTCAGTGCAGTGGTGGGAGAGCTGGGCTGGAATGAGGGGAGGAAGGGGGTGGCAGTGTAAGCATCAGCCACTTTTGTATGTCAAACACAATGCAAAACTTTTCCAAATGAAACATTGGAGACTTCAAGAATCAATATTATGAGGCAGTGAAAATGGGTTTTAGTAGGAGATTGGAAATTTCTGGAGGAAATTGAGTATATCAAGGGAAAGAAGCTCCAGTAATCAAGCATTGTCCCACTGTGTTAATCTCAGGAAAAACTTCACTCACACTTGGCCATGTAATTTAGATAATCTGTAAGAGGTAAGAGGCATGCAAAAAAAAATAAACATGATGAAATCCTACTGTCCGTGATGATGATTCAGAGAGTGTCTGAATTTGAGGAAATGCTCTGTTAAGAATGAATTGCTAATAATGAAGTAAAATGTTTGTTCAAGTTTATTGAATAGCATTAGACTAATAAGAAGCATGATAGAATTGGATACCAGAGACCAACAACAACATTTCGGTGCAAAAGATGGGAGTAAAAACATTTGTCAGAGCAAACATATAAAAGAATACATCTAAATATCACCCTATAAATGCCTTTCCAGAATATGCTATGAATTTAGGTCTTGGGGATCTTTGAATGTTACTAGTTTTTATCTGTGATGGTAACTCCTATAAGGGAACTCATTAAAAGTAGGAAAAAGACCCCATTCCTCTTACTAGTGAACTTTTGAATGGAAGCTGTCTACTGTGCGGACCCCCTGTCCTTTGCCAGGCTGGTTTTGTGGGTTTCCCAGGCAGCTTTTTCAGTCTCTTATGGAAGCCTGCTTTTCCTTGGGCACAAAATGATTGAAAAGCACTCCCTCACTTCAAGCCAGATGTTCAGGTCTGAGGTTTAAATTTCAATTCCTTTATTTTTCTAGGAAAATTTAGCATTCAGCAATAGGGATATTAGTAAAAGACACTTAAATAGAACTTTCCTCCCTGATGAGTAAGAATGCAAACTCCATGTATGTCGGCTTCTTTATTCAAAAAGTTTAAGTTTGCCATTTCAGCCTCCAAAGGGTGATTTTTACATGTATTTTCATGCTTGCTTGTATGGGGAAGCTCTTTAAAATAAAAATTTTAAAAAGATTCAACTGATCATAAAACTGAACCCAGAGCAGGAATGAGGAGGGATGCAGGTGTCCTTGCTGGGATATTGGCATCAGGGCTTCTTGTGTCTAGTATGCGGACCCCCTTTCTCTTGGGATCTAAAAGTTGACGAAACAAAAACATAAACAAGACAGTCATGTTTAGAGAAAGACCACAAACTGTGGCTTTCCCCTGCAGATATCAAGCAAGGAATATTGTGGATACTGGCTTCCAGTTTAGTTTACTGAACTGCTAGAATGAGTCACCCCAACTCTATCTGGTAAGTAATAATGAAGAATTGACATTTGTCTTAGGAACTTCCCATAAGTTTAAAGTGGCACCCAATGCCCAGCTGGTGTAGTTCAGTGGTTGAGCGTCCAACCCAGGTTCATGCCAGGAGGTCATGGTTTGATTCCTGGTCAGGTCACATGCCCAGGTTGTGGGCTCAATCCCCAATGGGAGGTGAACAGGAGGCAGCTGATGAATGATTCTCTCATCACTGATGTTTCTATCTCTCTCTCTCTCCCTTCCTCTTTCTGAAGTCAATGAAGAAATATTAAAAATAATTTTTAATGGCACCCATTTTGACTGTCCAGGAAAGACAAAGCCTTCAGTGCAAATTAGAATCTGAAAAACCCTTTGTATGCCTGACTTACCTCTGTAAATCTACCAACAGATTTTGTGTCCACTTGGATTTAGGATTCAAGCATAGAACCGACCTATTCTTCAACCAGACTCTGGGAGAAAATAAACGAAAATAAAAGCAAAGCAATGTTACATTTTAGTCAATCCTGCATGTAAGATTTGAATATAAAAATAATTATTCTCAGAGGAAGCAAAATTAGAGGTAGGCATTGGGAGTAGGTGATTTATAGCCTGAGGTCTGAGGAATAAGAAGAACACCACTTGCAGAAGCATATGTTTGAGCTGGTGAAACTGACTACAAAGCTGACAGAATTTCACAAGTCAGAGGTTAATGTTTTGTTGACAACTTTTGTGTGAGTTGGAGATACACCAAATAGCTGACTCCAAGGTTGGCTCACTCTTAAAGCTGTATCACAGTATCTTTTAAATGTTTTTGGCTATTGCGCTTGGGAGAACAAAATAGACTATAAAGCACACTCTCTTGAGGACCTTTTATTTGAAAAAAAAAAATTTAATGAAGTTGATGTGGGAGAGGTTACAGAGCTGATTGCTCTGAGCGACATCTGCATTTTTGGGTTGAGCTACCAGGTAGTGAGGCTCTCACCACTCTAAGAAATTAAGTGATAACAAAAACAGCAACAATAACTAATAGCTGATCTTGAGCAAGCACTGACAATGTGCTAGGCATTATGCTCAGCAGGTAACGTAAAGTATCTCAATTAACCTAACGAAAGTCCTGTGCTGGAGGAACTATTATTTCCTGGCCTTCAGATGAAGAACTTGAGTCTTAGTGAGTATATGATGTAGCTTTCCCAAGATTGCACAATAAACACATGATAGAGCAGGATTCGAATGACGGTTATCTGACTCCAGAATCCACACTTGTCGCCACAGCCTTATACGGGAATAATCAGAATGGTAACCAAGTGGCAGACACACGGTTGCATGTTGACCTGCAATAGAAGAAGTGAGGCCTTCCAGGTGATAGCCAATTGAGAAAACCTACTCTTTATGGGTGTGACCAAACAAAACACAGTTTCTTGAGGTGTCGTTTGTGTTAGCTATAAAATGACAAACAGCAAGGATCCATCTACCTGGCTTTGAATCTCCATCCTTGTTAAGTGAATCGTAAGAAGTAAGAGTTCATAGAACAACTGGATTCTTGGACAGAGCCTTCCAATTTGCTTTCTGAGTTCATTATGGAAAACCAGATTTCTGATCATCTGGACTCACAATATTTTGACCCCCTGAATGGCCTGAATTTCTCATAATAATCTGCATCTTTCGTTTCTATATCTGGTTATAGTTTAGTGATGCAGAATTTGGTGAAAAGATATGAAATTACATTTTTATCACTTCAGAACGATTGAAGTTAAAGCAGAGAAAATTACGGTGCATTACTTTCCCTGACTGTGAGGTGAGGGCCTTGACACATGGCCAAGGAAATGGAGTAGAAAGAAAGAAGTCTCGGTTTTCTACACAACCAGAGGAGCTGCTCCCAGATAGGGCCTGGCTAGACTTCATAGCTCTGAATTTGAGGACAATAATTGTGGTTTAGTTAGAGCTTTCATTGGCAAACACCTTAGTGAAAGTATAATGCTTTTTTTAATGAAAAAGTTTATACACATTTTTACATTATGGTGTGGTATTTTTTTTTTTACAAGTTGAATGTAATTAGTCAGAGGCCTAAAGCATTGATATCAAAATGGGACCAAAAAAGTGAGCTGTTTACAAACATTTCAAAAGTCTAAAAAGGAGACATATGTACTACTATCTGTAGTACTTTAAACAATAAAATTAAATTAAAAAAGAAGTCTAAAGAAGTCCAAAGAGAGAGCTTCTAATGAAAACAAAGTCATCAAAGCCCTAGAAAGATGCTGTGCCTAATAATTTAAGGTGTTGTGAGTGCTTGGTTCATTAAAGATAGATCCAGGAAGGCGAAACCAAAGTTCTAAGTGCAGTGGCCCTGAACTAAGTGCTTGGCATGCATTCACTCAGTGATATGCAAAAAGATGTAAGGCTCCATTTAAAATATTCAGTGTAGCCCTAGCCGGTTTGGCTCACTGGATAGAGTGTCGGCCTGCGGACTAAAGGGTCCCAGGTTCGATTCAGGCCAAGGGCACATGCCCGGGTTGTGGGCTCGATCCCCAGTGGGGGGCATGCAGGAGGCAGCCGATCAATGATTCTCTCTCATCATTGATGTTTCTATCTCTCTCTCCTTTTCCCTTCCTCTCTGAAATCAATAAAAATATATTTAAAAAAATAAAATAAAATGTTCAGTGTAACAATCCAAGATTTGTTGAGCCTCTACTACATACCAGGTAAGGGATAAAGCATTGGGAATAGAGGAATGAATAATATCTGATCCCTGTCTATAAAAAACTTATTTTCTGGCAGGAGTGAAAGAGGGGGTACAAACTTGATTGTCTCAACACAATAAGGGTATAATAATTGCAGTTAACATTAACTGAACATTTACTACTGTGCCAGACACTGTGGCAGGGGCTTTTCATGCAGGGTGCAGTCTCATTTGGTGTGATGTAGAAGATGCTATGGTACAAATAGCCACAGATTTCTCTGGGATTACAAAAAGGGAGGGTCACAGAAGCAAGGGGTCATACCATTTCAATAAAAGAAAATATCTATTAGACTTTTTGCAGCCACTACCATCCCCTTAGCCTAACTCTTTATTCAGAGTGGGATCAAAATTGACAGAACAAAACACTAAAGGACATCTCCTTAAAACAGACCTTTAGACAAGGACTGTTATGGAATCTTCTTTTCTTGCTCTTTGACTTGGTGGGAAACAAAGTTTCTGCTTCTGCTGGCCATTTGAATGTGATGGATTCAAGGAGTTTGGGAATGGGGAAAATGTGAGTAAGGTCCTGGCTCGGTCCCGTTAGAATGGTGTGCCCAGGGCAGTTATTTAACCTCCCTAAGACTCCATTTCTGCATCTGCAAAGGAATGACAACAATAGACACACCTTCGTAGGACTGAGGGATAAAATGAGTGAATGCATGCCAAGCACTGAGTTCGGGGCCTCTGCATGATAAACACTGAACAAATATTGCTGATTCTCATTGTTATTATTATTCTTCTCATCATTAGTTTTTGAGACTTGTTAGTGACCCTCATAGTTAATCACTTTGAGATTCTTGGGTAAGAATACTATGTGGCCTATCATTTGCAACAAATGGATGGACCTAGAGGATATTATGCTAAGTAAAATAAGTCAGACAGAGAAAGGCAAATACCATATAATTTCACTTATATGTGAAATCTAAAAAACAAAGAAAAACCCTGAACAAACAAAACAGAAACAAACTCATAAATACAGAGGACAAACTGATGATTGCCAGAAGGGAGTGGGGTTTGGGGGACTGAGTGAAAAAGTTGAAGGGATTAAGAAGTACACATCAGCAGGTACAAAATAGGCATGGGGTGTGAAATACAGCATAGGGAATCTACACTAATAAAAGAGATGCAAATTAACCATACCTTCACAACGCCCACCAGCCAATCAGGATTGAGTATGAAAATTAACTCAACAAAGATGGTGGGTTAATTTGCATGCACAGGCGCTGAGCGGCTGGGGGTGGGGCGGGAAGCTTGCGTAGTTGCCATGGCAATGATGCAGGCGTTCTGCACCACCCCAGGTGCTCCAGGCCTCTGGGCAGAGTGGGAAGGTGGAAAGGCTGCTCCGGGCCAGAGCGAAGGCGGTGACAGCACCCAGGGGAAGGAAGGCCCATTCTTGCAGGAATCTTCATGCATTGGGCCTCTAGTATAGTCAATAATATTGTAATAATTATACTTGGTATCAGATGGGTAACTAGACTTATCGGGGAGATCACTTTGTGAATTATATCAAATGTCTCACCATTATGCTGTATGCCTAAAACTAATATAATATTGAATGTCAGCTATAATTTAAAAATTAAAAAAATTAAAATACTATGTAGAAGATATGATCTTATTTTCACTGGAGAGAGGAATCTCGTATATTTTTTATTGTAACTTACATGACTTCCATGTGTGGGCAACCATCCCCAGGCACATAGGCTGCAAGCTGGGCAATCATGTTGCGCCTCTTTAGGGATGAAACCGATTTCATGCATCTACACTTAGAGGACGTGTTCAAGGTCTCCAGAACACCTGTGAACACAGAATCAGTTATTTTAATCCCTTTGGCATATAATTCATAACTAGAACTTAAATACTAATTGCTCATATAGTGCAATAGAAGACTTAAAAATGTCAACTTGGTGCTTCCACCCATGTTCCTTTAGGGTATGTATTTCTGCTTGTCTTGATTTATATTCAAACATTTCCTACCAAAATCTAAAAAATAAAATTAGTTTTGTAGAAAACACAGCACCTACTGAAGTTTGTGACAGAATTATATTGGCACTCAGGTCATGGTCCAAATAATAAAATTTGAGAGCCGCTATAATTACAACTCAGTTATAATTAATGCAGTAGCAAATCAACTGATCTTCACTCCAAACACATAGCAATAGAGCACAAAAACTCATCGCAGAATCCTTGAAGCAGTAACAAGCTCTCCCTCTTATCAGACTCAGTGCCACCACTTGTCAACCTCTGTTTGAGGAAATACCATGGAAGATATATATTTTTTTGTTTAATACATTGGTCCTCCATCTCATCTGCAAATCATTACCAAACAAAAGCCAATAATAAAAATTCAAGGCTATTTTTATCCAACAACAAGTTCTTAGTACTAGACAAGTACTATAAGTAACCCATCTCAGGTATTTGAATTCTTCCCTCTTTAATCCCAGTGCCTACCACCATGCTTGACATGGTTTGGTAAATATAAGAGACCCAGCTCTCAAGGTATTTATAATTTAGTGGAGGAAGCAAATGAGCAAAAACTAAAATACCACAAAATGTTGTATTTCACTCAAGGTCCAAATTGCATAATGGGACCAAAGGGCTTTGCCAGGAGCATTGGAGGAAAGAGATGAGGGTCTTGAATAATGGAAATAACATGTGCTGCACTTTAAGAAAATTTGTCCTCTAAACTGTAGGCAAGTGAATCATTCTGCACATGCATCCGATTCCTTCAGTGTATAAAAAGTGACCACTTCAACTAGATATGTATCTATTTACACAAAGACCGCCTTCCCATTTGTTTTCTTATTTTTATTTTCTTTCCCAAATTTATTTATTAAGACCGTCTTCCCATTTAGACATGGAAGTCTGCTTCTTTGCAGAAAGCTTGTACTTAAGTACTCCTGTTGTGTTAATAATGGCTCATGTCAGTGCTAAATGTACAGAATTACATCAGACGCTCCCTGCAGGAGACCAACCAGTTGAGTCAATAATCTTTAAATCCTATCAAGGGTTGGTCAGCCAGGGTGGCACTGACGGACAGAGCAAAGAAGAGATACATGGAAAGAATTAGTGATAGCAGAGCTGCATCTGAAAAAGGCCAGGAATAGACAACCCAAGTATAAGTCACAGGGACATTGGACATCCATATCCCTCCCTCTATGGCTAAGAATCATAATAATACAACAGCTTCCAAGAGTTGAATTCTGAAGCACCTTACTTTTAGAAATCTAGCAACAGTGCAGTTTTTTCCCTCAAGTCATATTTCCCCCCATTTTCTAATTGAAAAGTAAAAAAGGAAATGTCTGAAGACCATTTCTGTTCAAAAGACAACGACAAGGTAAGGGAGCGTTCTCACCGTGGGCTGGAGAGAGGCTGCTGACCAGCAGCAGGAGAAGCAGACATCCGGGGATGAACCTCATTCTGCCTGAAGGTGGAGTTCAGACTTCAGCTCTGAGTCTACGCTGTGGGTTCTCAGCACAGAGACTCCTATTTATTTACTCAGTGAGGGCCCTCCCACTGCCTTTGTCTCCTGTAGGTCAGCTGTATCATCATTTTTTTTTAAACACCCAAATATTGCTGAGATTGCTTTTTGTAACTTCTCTTGCAAATTTTATGAATTTGCTTCAAAGCACTATTAGTATAATGAAATGTTTCTGGAAAATGTGGATGGTGAGTGGCAAGGGTGCTGCAGGAATTTGGGGGTGGGAGAGAGGGAAAAGATCTGCTCAGAGGCTCCACAGCACTTTCTCTCTCTGGGATCACTATCAGTGATCCTGGCTGTGAGTGCTTCCCTCCGTGAAGGGCCAGCAGACTTTCTCAAAGGCATTTGAATGAGTGCTCCACGAAACTGGGGGCTCTGCCAGGCACATCATTGCATCCCCAGCACCTGCAAGAGAGTCTATTGCCTTTGGTAGGTGGCCTGTATTTGCAGATCTAATGAACATCTCTTTATATCCAGATCCCTGTGCTGACTAGGTTACTGTTTTTCTACCAGACTTTATACCTCTTATTTTACTATCTGCAACATAAGATTACTTATGTCATCTAACTGTTATGGAAATACTGGGAGGGGGGAGTATGTGTCCCTTCATTGGTGTGCTGGTATCTTGATGAAGGGACGGAGGCAATGGCTCTGAGTAATTAAATCTTTCTGGCTCGGGGACACATTTATTGAGCTTAAGAACCAGGTGTCAGTGGAAGGTGTCATTAGAATTTCATCAGATGCTGAACTCATATTTCAGTGTGTTTAACAACACATATGTGCACTTTGGTTTTCCTCTGGCCAAATAACCCCTGGGAACAATCAACCCGCTGCCTTAAGTCACTTCCTAGGAACTCTTAGACGTAAAAAAAAAAAAAAGCATGTGGACAATGGCTGGTGTGCTCTAGAGGATCACTGGGCTGCCCTGGGAGTACACAAGTGTGCATATATGAAACCAGACCCATTGAACCACGGAAAAATCAGAGGTTTGGTCTTCCAGATGTGGCTTTCTTGACAATTTGATTTTTGCTGCTCAATTAGCATTGTGGATGTTTAGCATCCTAGATGTGCCAGTTGTCACCCAGGGGTTATAGTATTACCATGCAACCTTCTTACAACAAACCATTCTCTGGCTGGCCTGAATGACTGCAGGGACAGGGGACTCATCGGTCTTCAGGCAGCCCGCTCTATTGTTTGGAAAGGTCTAGTTATTCGAAAGCATATATATATATGCTCTTCCCTGATAGTTCAATCACTTTGTCCTAATTAATTAATTAACCCCCCTAATCACCATATGAACAATTCTAAATGCTCTTTCATATCATATTTGAAGACATGGTATGTCAGATGTCAGTTGGGTCCCACAGGAAGCAGATGCTGAGCATGGATGGTGGAGTAATGGACGTTTTTGTTTTGTTTTTCAGAATAATTTCTGTAATAGATAAAAGGGAGGAGGAGGCAGGAGTGGGCAAGGAGAGCCTCAGACTGCAATGCTGATCTATAAAGTCTATGAGAACTCAGTGGGGGACTCCTGAGAGAAGACTGTGTATTAGAGGAGCCCATGATGGGCAGGGATGTCCAGTCCCTACTACCCCTGCGATGCTCAGCCACTGTCTGGGGCTGCCGGGGTTCTTGTTTCAGCATCTAGAAGGGTTCAGCAACCTGGAGAAGGGCTGTGTGTAACTTAATAAAGAGTCCAGAGA